TCTGCAGTTACACTTTTACTAGCCTTACCTTAAGAAGTATGATAGTGAGAAACTATGAGGTGGAGATGAGTGCTGTATCTTCTTTTATTGCTAAAGTGCTAACGTGGCTGAAGCAGAAGTGTCAGTTTATCTTGATGTTATGATTTTTGTAGGAATTGTATTGCTTCAGGTTGCTGAATGTCAAACCCCAAATGTAGCAGGGCTGGGTAATGGATGTGCAGGCAGGCTGCTGCTTCTGGCCAGTGGGGGAATCGGTTGTGGGCAGATAGAAGGAACAGTTGTGCAGAATACAGTTATAGGGCTGCATTTGATTGTAATGGGTATAAAGGCTGGTTTTGTGTCTGCAGCGTGTTATGGGAAGATGACAGAATCAGACAGGAGTAAAGTTGATAACTTGTTTATTTCCCAACTCACAAATATATATATGTAAACAGTCACACACAAAGGTATACAAGTCTGGGGTCAGTAGATGGGTATCCTATTTGCACAGGCTGTACAACAGAGAGCTGCTTTGGTAGCAAAGTTGTGCAAAAGAGAAGCTCACCATGCACACCAGGGTGGAGTAGTTGCAGGGAGGAAAGTGGCATTACGCAGAAGGAACAAGCAGCCTCTACTTGCTAATAGTTACCAGCATTGCCAAAGCCATGGGATTTCAGTAATGTAGCTTGTGAAGGAAACGTGGGAGCCGTGGTGAGAAATGGAATACGGTTGTGCGGTGTTAATCCCAAGGCAGGGGAAGCTGTGATTGCTGCATGGCCAAGAAGACCCCTTTGGGCTTTCCTAAGCCCGAAATAGGCAGCTGTGAATGTAAAGGCAAGTGAAGCCCACGCTGCTGCTGTTCCTGAGCATGCAGGAGGTCGTCCTCCCACCTCCCCCATCTCTGGGCAGCACTCAGCAGAGATGTGGGGATGCGTTCTGGTTTCTGCCAGGCCATTTTTTTGGCTGTTGTTTTATGCTAGCTGAGTTCTGAAAGGAGCTGCATTGATCTGCCTGCACTGCTTCCAACACCGATTCCCTGCCCCGCGCTATTAAATGAACGAAGCTGCACCTTCAGTAGGTTCAAATCAACTGAAAACACATCAATGTTTTTCACTTTACTTCTGTCCGTTACCAGAGTTCTCACTTTTTAACCCGTTACTTACCTGAAAACTTGATACTACAGCCTTACTGAAGCAGGAGCATTGCAGATGGGGGCCCTTCTGTTTGCATCAGATGTTGTGGCTGAGATCTTCTCAGGCCGACGTACTGCTGTGTGTCGTAGCAGCGCAGGTCCTGCTGGCCCAGGCAGAAAGCTGGAGTCACTGCAGGTGCAGGTGAGGCTCTAGCAGTTGAATGAAGCTGGAATAGCTTCATTCTTACAGCCTTTGGACTTGATGCTGTCCTGTATTTGCTGTGACAACGTACTGTCAGCCCACAACCCTCATTTGTAGGCAGACGGTGGGATTTGAAGACGGTTGTAGCAATAAGAGTAACATCAGAAGTGGGATTTGCTGTAAGCTGTAGCACCTTACAGGTGCTGACAATGTTCTTCTTTTTCTATACTGCAAAAAGTTAAAGAACTTAAGAAAAGTTCATTTCTGTCTCCAGGCATCCAAAGAGATGCAGTGCTTTCAGTCTGAATCCCAGATTCCTTTGGATGCCCGTTACTCACAGATGACTGCTGCGGAGGCCTGGCTTGCTGAGAGCTTTGAGTTCAGCCACCCAGATGCAGGCAGTGCCCAGACAGCTGGGGTTGACCACAGCGAGGCCATGGATGAGGCCAAATAAAAGAAGGGCTTTCACCTCCCTGCACCCCACAGCATTTTGGGTAAAGATCTTAAAGATGATGGAATCATAGATCTCAAATGTTGCTTCTTAGGAGTGTTTGGCTCTATGGGAATGAATGTCTTTGAACCTGATTTAAACGTAAAAAAATGAGTTGTACTGCTTTTGATGCTATCATAACTGGAAGCATTCTTTTTTCCAGTGTGTCCACTTGACTCCGTAATTCCAGACTAGTAATACAAAATAGAGATTTTTTTTTTCTTCTTTAAAAGGTAGAAACTGAGTTATTAGCAGCCACTTGTCCTCTTGGTTCAGGTGGCAGCTTCAGCAAGCCATTCTTGCGACTGGTTCACATAAACCCATGCATTGCCTGAGTGGAGTCGCCCAGGCTTTGCTCATTAGGAAACACAACTGCTTTTCACAAGAATTTTCCCATGCACTGAACTACAGGAGGGAAGAGGGCAGACACAGCCAGAAACAACCAGGACCACCCAACAACCCCTGGGTCGAGTTGAGTGGTTGCTGTTCAGACTCAGTGCGGGAACTTAGGAATTTTCATTTTGGTTTGGGTTTTGTTTTTGGGGTTTTTTTTTGCATGAAAATGTATTTTTCTGGTCACGTAGAGGGTTCATCTCCAAAGGAGGGGAGGTGAGTATTGCAGTTTTGTCTCCCTGCTTGGTCATGCTTCAGGTGGACTTCTCTGGTGAACCTGAGACGGTTCTATCTGGTATGCTCAGAAAGCTTGACAGAAGCTGTACTTAACCTGGTGCTCGTATGTCAGTAAACCCTTTTATGATGAGTTTGGGAAGGTCCACAAGGTCATCACCTAACGTTCACACGCAGAAAGCTTGTAAAGCTTGTGTCCTTTGCATGCATTCTCTCTGACAAATCTACTTGACAGTACAGTGCTGAACGCCTCCGTTGAAAATCCAGATGAAAGATGAGGAGGGCAATGCAGTATCAGTTACTCTGTATAGCACATCTTTATAGCACGTGTACACTTTACCATTTATTCAGCAAGAATTTAGGAGGTGAGATGGCTTGAGTGCATGATCATTTGAAATCAGTGGAGGTAACACGAGATTGGACACACGGTTCAGGAAATAAGAGGTTTTGTGGTGGTGAAGTTGGTACCGGGTAGGAAATAAGGATGTCATTTCTTGATGAAATCCCGTGCAGATGCACAAATGGATGGACAGATGTGGGGGTGTGATTAAGCTGAGCAAAGCCAGTTGGATTCTTACCTGTTAATTAGTGCTGTAACTCCACCTGCTATGTTACAAGGTTGCCACTCCTTCCGTGTGCTCAACTTTTATACCTGATTTCAGTCTTGCATAGGGAATCAGATCCTCTCTCCAATTGTTCCTTACAAGAGCAGGATCCCAACTGAAGCCACTTTATTAAGAATGTTACTGATAGGCAGTCTCAGGGAGAACGTATTTCTCTCTGCTGTAAATAAACAACTTTTCTTTCACCAGGATGATGTTTGGCTAGAGAAGTCAGTTTTGGCACTTACAAATATTTCTATATTTCTATAAAGTCTCTTTATATAAATTTTGTGTGCACTGATGAGATATGAAACAAGTTCTGGAAAAGATGGCAAGTCTGGCAACTTCAGTGGCTTGATGCATGTGTACTGTTGTAAGTATTGCTAAAAGATGCTAGTAGCCAGCTCTTAGCTGTGTGTTGGTGTGGGGATGTCTTTTAGTGCACCGAGAACCTGCAGAGCATTGGGTGCTGTGTAGTTTCTGTGCCGTTCTCACCCCATTTCATTCAGTAGAACAGATGGGAATTTGTACTGGAGTGACTTCAGTGTAGATTTAAAAGTGTCGTGTAGTACAAAATACACATAAAAAACAGGTATCAGAAGGTGCAAACAGGCCCTCACATGGGTGCAGTAACTTTTTTCAGAATATGGCTGGTCCTTTGCTCAAGGACCCAGAGTTTTTGGAGAACCTTCATCCTTGAGCACGCTGGCAGCAGCCTGACAAGACTGTGAGCAATGTGCCTCTGAGGCTTATTCCAGGACGTGGTGTTGGGATTGCACCACATCAACTCCCAAAGCCCCTTCTGGCCTGGGTCAGGCTGCTTTAATCCAGCATTCCTCCCCCTCCCTCAGAGCTCCTAACCTCGGAAAATGGATCAATCCCATGCCAATGCATTTTTCTTCCTGGCCAATCAAAACAGACATGGAAGAGGAAAGGAGAGGTGCAGACATTCAGGGTAAACACAAAAGTTAACGATTGCCTTCTGTTACTTCTGCATGCTTTCTGCAAAGCTGACCCTGTTGTGGTGGGTGCAGTGCACTGAGGGTAACAACATTCTGGGTGCTGTGAAGTCCAACAGGAATATTTCTGTGCTCAGCACTTCAGAGGATGAAACTGTCTCATGCAAGCTCAGTAGTAGTGGCCTGTTCCCCAGAAAAACAAGTGTGCACGTGCAAAGAATGAATGTGAAATGGCACTGTGCTCACACTGGGCAATGGTGTATCTGCAGCCTGGGGTTGTAGGTCATGTCCCCATGGCTGGGAGCACGGTTCTGGAAGGCCTCAGGCCAACTGGGTGGGCAGCAGCATTACAGGCCCACGCTGTGGACAGGCCTGTCAGCCCAGGAGGCAGCTCAGGGCATGGGAGGTGGCACTTTGAATTTTGCTATTTGTTGAGGAGGAAATAGTGGGGCTTTACTGCAGTGCCTTCTTACGGAGTCAGATTTCTCCCACCACGCACCCCCAAAGTCCTGAAACCTCTTTCCTTCTGGTGATCAAGACTTTTGTTTCTTATTTCAGGCAGCACAGCCCAACTGCTGCTTCTGTGCTGGCTGCTGTCAGCTCTGACTGCACGGTGCTCCAGGCCATGGGGAGCACAGAGAGGGGACAGAGAAGGTGTGTGGGCTGAAGGAGCAGGAGGTGCTGAGCACCGTGAGGTTAGCAGTGCAGATTTTTTTTTCCCTGTGTTTACTGAACTTGGTTATGCAGTGTTTAAAGGCCGTTCTTGTAAATGCCCCAGTGCCTTGGTTTCCTGACTGCTGTGTGCCACCACAGATGCATTTTTGGCAATGCCAGAACAGATCTGCAAATGATTATGCTGGTTCAAGTTACTGCGAGGCAGGCAGAAAGCAGCTCAAGAATGTGTCCTGCTTGGTAAGCCCTGTTTTCCTGTTGCTTGGAGAGATGTGGAGGGGGAGGGAGAGCGCTGCACCTTTACGAGGCAGGCAGCTTTGAGAGTGGAAAGGTTTTCTCATGTGTTTTCTTATCACCATCCTCTGGAGGACTACATCAAGTGGTGATGCTGCATCTGGTTCTGCCTTGGAGAAGAGCATGGAGTTATGCGTTCTCCTGGAAACAGTGACAGCAGGCTGCAGGTGGGCAGGGCCCATAAGTAACAGCTGTGTTCTCTTCCAAGCTTCAGCTTGCTGATCCTCTCTAATTCCCCATTACTCAGAGTGAGCTTGCTTATCCCCTACAGTTTTATTGATGTTTCCTCATCATTTTTAACTAGCAGGAGGCTGGGAGTTAGATGCTGCTGACTTGCTAACCTTAGTCTGTGTTCTGAGTGATGGGTGGGTGCATCTCTTGTACCACATCTCACTTCTTCCACCTGCCTGCCCTCTGTGGTTGGCTTCACTGAGGCCTTCTAGCACGGTTCTGCTGCTGAGCAGCACATTCTTGGTTATGAGAGGAACAATGATTTTGAAAAGAAACAATTTTACATGGATAAGACACGTCAGACACAAACAGAGTCACTTTTAGAGGTTTCTTTATGAAATTAAATGTAGCCCCTGGTCTGGGGAGAAGATATAGTGCAAGAATGACTTTGTACATGCTACTAAGTTCAGATGTCCCTGGATGACCAAACTTCAGTCAGCTACAGCATCAAACACCAGACCTGGGAGCTCAGCAGGCAGTTAGTGCTCATTTACAATAGCATCACGTTGGAACAAAGGAGTGCCTACTTTCTGCTGTCACAAGGTGTCTCTAAGCTAGGGAATTAGGTCAGTATGGCTTCTAACTCTCACTAAGGTAAGGCAAATCTTTCCTTTTGCTAACCAAGGTACAGATGAGTTTCTCTTGGCCACCATTTGAAACTTGGGTACCTAAAGTGAGGCTTTTAGTGCCAAAACTTGGCCAGCTGCAAGCAGCTTTAGGATGTCTGTTTGTAAAGGTATCAAAACCCTCTAATAATTTGAGTCTGTAGAAGTTTGCATAACGATTGTGGTTTCAGTCTTTCTTTCACCATTGAACTGCAGACTCTGACTTCTGGGAGCAGTTTGCAAATATTGATCTTTTGTTATTTAAAAAATAAAAATAAAACAGACAAAACAGGCATTGAGTTAACAACTGACAAGAACAATTACAGACTTACAAAATACACAGTTCTGGTTTATACCATAAATAAACACATTACGAACAATGAGCATTTTCATTGGCCAGGAAATATGGCAGAACGATAGAAGAGAATCTAAGGAATTGAGTACAGTATTAATTTAGGCACATTTTTCTCTAACTTATGTAACGAACCCAACTAGAGCGATTCCTGAATGTTACTCATGCTGCAGGTTGGTTGGCACCGTTTAACAAACTATGTTGTTCATCAGTGTTGTTGAATTAAAGGGAAGAAAAGGGTCACAGTGCAATACTCACTGTTGTCTCGTCTGAGTGCCAGCAGGGGCTAACTGAGTTAGTTAGAAGGGTGTAGGAGGGTCGTGTCCTTGAGGTGAAAGGTGGGGAACGGGGTGGGCAGGGAACGCAAGGGTTTGCTCCTCCCTGCAAAACGTACGATGTCAGCAACACTGAGCTGTTGTTCTGAGCATGTCAGTGTGGGACAGAGCTGGTAGGCTGAGCAGCTGCCAGACAGCAGCGGTGTTCACAGCAGAATGGAATGATTCAAAGTACAGCTGACAGGCAAAACCTTTTCAGATGAAACAGATCAGGCTCCATTCTCATCTCTTCCTGGAAGTTTGTCTCTTGAGTGCTGTGCAAGGCTGGCTCACTGGGACCCAGCACAGATGCACACGTGTGCAAGCACGCATGCAGCGTCTCACCTCAGAGCCAGGGGGTCAGTTGGTCTGCAAGATAAATAGAGAAGGCAGGAGCACACGTGCCATCCTCTGTAAACAAAGGATTGGAAGAACCTGGGCTCCACCTCCTAGGACTGGTGGATAAAGTGCTTTCTCAGAAGGGGTTCAGGCACAAACGCGGGGCTGTCCTTATTTCCGGAAGGGTGTCAGCCTGCTGATGTTCTGCCAGAAGTTCGAGGGTTTGCGCTTGGGCTCTGCCAGCATGAAGACCTGCTGCTGTGGGAGCGTGGTGGGCAGGGTGGGATGCTTCTGTCGCATCAGGAAGTCATAGTAGGGCCTGGTGACAGCTGTGACAGCAAGGAGACAGCAAAGCACGTGAGCTGAGCACACAAACCCTCCCCATACCCCTTAAAGCTGCAGGACAGTGAATTTGATTTGCCTCAGCATTACTCTTAATTTCATCAATGCCCTTCAGTGCTGGTATTATGGAAGTCCCAGAAATGCCAAGCATAACTGACAGATGTTCTGTCAACAATAAGATGCAGCTGAACAGCTGTAGCTCATTGCTAGTGACAAACTGATGAGCTGATACTCATGTGCCTTTATTTGTTTATGACATCCTGCACTGGTAAAAGCATAGGGAATCCACAGCAGTGGAGTTTTAGCAAGCAGAATTGCTCTACTGAACCTGAAGAGCCATGTCTAAGTATCATCCATACAGTTCAAAAAAAACCAAAAAACAGACTTTTTCTGGGTACTGGATGAAGTGCTTCTTTCTGATGCTGGTCCCCAGGTAATGCTATGAATTCTTAGTTTGAACGCAGTAGAAGAGAGCTGTAGCAGCCACAGCAAGAGAGGTAACCAACTGAATCTAATCGAGGCTCATGGCTACCAGGAGTTGGTAGAGACAGGACTGTGGAGTCCTGTCTGGAGACAATATTCCTTTGAAGACAGCTGAAGGGACAGTGCTGGTATAAATGATGGAATGTTTGGAACTTACTAGAAAGAGCAAGAGTGATTTGCAATACGGAAAATTAAATGGCAGGATGATTCTGAAAACAACTGTGGAGAGATTTCAGAGTGATCTGATCATATATCATGCAGTTCTCAGATGCTTAATATTCATCAGTGCATGGCCTTCACTCTCCTTGATGGATTGTGCTGGTAAATGTAAGATGCCTTGTTTACAGTTCTTCATTCTTAGATGAGAATGATTTTAGTTTTTCTATCGATCTGCAAGCTGAGAGTGACTGCTTCAATTCCTCCCTACCTGTTTCACAACTCTGTGACCATGAGAACCCAAACTCAAGCACTGTAACACAGCAGCTTGAGTCACTACCTTAAGTCTTTAAAATATATATTAAAAAAAAAAAAGCAAAGCCCTCAAAGGATATAGATTAAACAGCAGCAGTGTAAAACAGAAATGCCACCACCACCAGAGCTTGCAGCATTTCTGTGTTCAGGACTGACTCACCCTTTGGCTTCCCAGTGTAGTGCTGCTTACTGGCATTTAGCATTGCTTGCTTCTTCTGCATCTCTGTGATTGAAAAACCTTGAAGATAAAAAGAGGGGCTGTCAGCAGCAGCTCATCATGTTGTACCTCATGGGAGCATGCTTTCATAGGCAGTAAGAAAAATAGGTTGGAATGTGCCTGAGGTGGGAGGTCATTAGTCAAAATTCCTCCCAGAAGTGTACAGCTCCCCTTACCTGTGCTGCAAGGCTCCCTGCCTGCCTGCACCCCTCCCTGCTGGCTGACAGAACCAGGCCAGAGCAGTTGCAGCTCAGATCTCATTGGAGTCCATGTCTGAACTAAGCACTATTTGGACAAAAACTTGAAAATCCCCTTGCACCATTGAATGTATTCTGCACAGATGCTGCTATATCAAGCTGTTTCACTTTCAGCTGGGATAGAACTGGTCTTCTTCATCATACCAGTGCCTGGTATGATGCTGCTTTGGCTCTATGAGGGAAACAGCACTAATAACACACCAATGTTTACAGCTGCTGCTAAGCAGTGTTGTACAGAGCCAAGCCTGTTCTCAGCAAAGGGTCCAAGGAGCTGGGAGGGAACAGAGTGAGGGCAGCTGACTTAACCTGGCCAAAGGTTGAGTAACACATGGCAACATGTGGAAGGGATTTTGAATGGGGTTCATCTCTCTCTCTCTCTCTCTTCCACTGGTTGGGAACAATTGCTTGTGCATCACTTGTTACGTACATTCATATTATATACACACACATATAGCCATAACAACTATCCTCCTCCTTTTCTCTCTCTTAGAACAGTTTTATTTCAACCCAAGAGTTAATTTTTTTCTCCCCCGTTCTCCATGCCCCCCACCCTTCTGGGAAGGGGATCAGTGTGCAAAGGGCTGCGTGGTGCTGAGCTGCCTGCTGGGTGAAACCACAACACAAGCTCACGTTATACCACAAAATAATCGAGGTTTTGTTTGACTGCATTGAGTATTTTGCCAGTCCTGCCTGAACTCATTAGACATTGAGCTCCGTGAGCACTGTGGTTTGTACCTTATTCAACTGCATAAATTCATTCAGCATGTTACAGTCAGCAGTCCAGAGCATGAATTACACCTCCGTGGCCCCAGAACTCCAGTGTGTTGGTCAGTATTCAAAAAAACACATCGAACCCACTGAATCACAGCACTGCTTTTTGTACCTGTCTCCTGGTCGAGCTGAACCTGTCTCCTTTCATTCTCAAAGGCCTTCAGCCAGCGCTGTTTCTGCTCGGGCTTTTTTGCACAGAATAAGTGGACCTCCTCAGTGTCACGGCAGTGTAATTTAAATGCATTTTTCACACTGATACTGAAGTCCTTGTCCTTTCCATCTTCTATATCCAGGATTTCCATATCATCCATGTTGATTCGACTTTTATAATACAAGATGTCCCGGCGCAGAAGGTCCTGTAAGAGATCACACAATTACACAGATTTGTGTTTCGTGTCTTCTCTGTGCCATAAGCATTCATTTTCTTCTTTGAGATGCTGGAATGCTTAATCTTTTTGTTGGGCACTATAATGCTGTAAGAAAAGACGATGCTGGATTTGAATCTCTGGAACTGCGGAGTGCTAAGCTCCTATTGTTAGTATTGACTGGAATCATTTGGTTTCTTCTACTGGTGGGGTCAGGATAACAGGCTGGCATCTCCTTTTTTGGGACGCCATCAGCTACACTGAAGCACTCTGGATGTGATCTCAAATCCCCATAAAGCTGCTGTTAGAAAGTAGTATTTGCATGCTGCTTTCCATGTCAGCAAAAAAGGAATCCTAATTAGTTTTTATTTTTCACGTTGTCAATTAAATGTGTTTAGAGCATGAAAATTGTCAACAGCAGTGATAAAATGGTTCCTGAGTTACCAGGAGCTACCAGCTTGCCATAGATTATGGAAAAAAATGGCGTGTTCAGTTCTGAAATTCCAATGGAAGATGGATTACTCAATGCTTCCAATCCATCTTCCAAAGGAAGATACCTTGCTCAACCAAAGAATATTTCTTTTGTTGTTTAAATAGGTGCACACATACACACACCTGCACTGTGCGTGTGAACAACAGCAATGTGGTGCTTCTGTCTCCTGCTATAAGGACTTGGCCAGCAGTTAGTGTATTGTTCTGCTCAGGTGCACCTGGCTCTGGGGCACCAGAGGAAAGACAACACTGAATGCACATCAATCTGTGCAAGAAGCACATAAGCAGAATTAAGTATTATGGATTTAGATAGAGAACAACTGGAAATGAACAGTGGAAGTGGACTCAAATATTCAGCATTGTAATAGTGTTTGTATTTGACCATCCAAGTTACCTTCTTGCAGCAGACAAGCTGGTGATCAAAGAGGAAGAACATCCTCTGTTGGCTCTTGGCTTGAGGGTGGGAGACTTTGGTTAGTTCTCCAGAATAGATGAGTTCTGAGCTTCTAACGAGAACATCTTCACCCTGAGAGCAGCACAAAGAAGAGCCTGGTGACTGGTCTGTGCCATCCCAGAACAATGGAGAAGACATAAGCCCATAATCTCACAAGGCAATGTCAGTGTGGTTACGCAGCCTAACTACAGGTTATACACCCTGCTAGTGAAAAGCTGTTCCGGGAGTGAGAAGGGGCCACTGTGCTGGAGAAAAGGCCTTGTTATGTCAAGACAGTTGCTGTACTCTCGATACCCAGTGAATGGAAACTGAATTTGACTTGCTTTCTGGCACAACCTGCTCTAGGGAAGCTGTTTTAGCAGAGCGTTGGACTTGAGGGATCTCCAGAGGTCCCCTCCAACCCCTAAGGATCTGTGATGCTGTTGATTAGAGCAATATGTTAAATGAAAACTCTCCTTTTCAACAGAAAAGCCCTAAGCAGCTGATCCATCGCTGGCATTAAAGAAACCACATAAGGAAGATAGCTGATAATTTAGCCTGATATTTTGGATAGAGAAGGGATAGTTTTATTGAATTTAGACTTCAAAAAAAATGAGAAGACTGGGGTCTCTTGGGGCTGGGAAGTTTTTCTACACAGAGGCTGATGAGGCAGTGGAACAGGTTGCCCAAGGAGGTTGTGGATGCCCCATCCTTGGAGGGATTCAGGGCCAGGCTGGATGTGGCTCTGGGCAGCCTGGTCTGCTGGTTGGCAATCCCACACACAGTAGGGGGTTGAAACTAGATGATCATTGTGGTCCTTTTTAACCCAGGCCACTCTATGATTCTATGATTTTTTTTTCCTTTAAATCATTTTTATGTTGAGACTACAGGAATTTTATTCTTCCCTTGGAGCTATGTTGGAGCTTGCCTATTCTGAAGAATAATGTGCCTTATTAAGCACTAAGGGGTGATTCTGTCCACACTGACCATTTTGACCTCAGTAAAATGGGAGAGAAAAAGAGAAAAATATGATTTCATCAGACCACCCTCCGATTTTATTTCAGAAGGAAAATGGGGTAACAAAGAATCCCAAGGATCAGGGAGAAGGTGGCTGGTCTAGATGGGGTATGTGATAGACCTTTTCGTTTGCACTGAAAGATGACACCTTTGAAACAATAAAACATCAGAAAAGCAATTCTCAGAGTAGCAGAACTGAGCGAAATCCTCACAGAGCTCTTACAGCAGGCAGCTGAGAGGGAAATAAACACAATGCATTCAGTTCCTAGGAAAAGTAAGTCTGCCTTACCTCCCAGTCTTCTATGGAGCTTTGCCACTGAGCAATTTTGTCGATGTTCTCCAGTCTCCGCTTTCTCTCGTTGATGAGCCGAGCAACGTTCTTCATGGCATTTAAGGCAGCTTCAACATCTTTAAAATCCCTAGATTTTAAACAGAGTGTGTGTGTGAGGGATGCGTTGCTGCAGGCAGTTTTCAGAAGCATGCTGCTTTGGACACGCAGATTTATATATCTGTTACAAATTCAGGAGCAGTGTGTGGAAGGGAAGGATGCGAGTAACAGCATTCAGCTGCAGAGGTGTAAGTACTGATGGCTGAACCAATCTCCAAGGCTTTGCTTCTTACCCATCATGGTACAACAGAGTCATAACACCACTCCTTTCGTACAACGACTGATTCTGTCACATACAGTGACAGATAAGACAGCTCAGATTTGGCTTGATTTCAAATGTGAGCTGTTGGTGTTTGTGGGAGGGTAGGGCAGAAGCCAATCCACTCCCCATACACCACCCCCAGCCACCAGCTACTGCTTGAACTGGAGCAGCTGGGAAGGAGCTGTTCTGCACAACACAGCTTAATGCAATTTTCAGACATCCAGGTGCTGCATTAAGGAGTTGTCTCTTATGAGATCAACATCAGAACAGGATGTTTATAGATTTAATAACTTACACATAAAGCAGTTCTAAGAAATAGCAGTGCTGTAAATCAGGTGTTAAAATTAAGTAAGTTGTCACAGTGGGCCATTAGCAACACTCTCCTTAATACAGTTTTTCATGCTTTATTTCTGTGGCTCATTACTTTTCTTACACAATTAATTGAGCCAAAAGCAATGCCTTCACCCTGAAATGGAGCTCTGGGTTTGCGGGCTTCTGAGCTAGGGCAAGAATTCACTGAGTGCACCTGGCCTGATGTTGTAAGGCCATGATTTCCCTCAGGGAAAGCACCAAAAAAAATTCGTGACTGTCTCTCAGCCTTTACATGCTGTACACGTGTGGGTACATGGATGTTCTGGGCTATAATAACCAGTGCTTTTGGAGGCAAAGCTGTCAATAATATCACCCCAGGAACCAACTCCAAAGTCTGTATGTGCTGGTATCTCAGATATGTGGACCAAGGAAACCAGAAAAGCACCACAATGAAAGGAACTTAGTAACATCAGGTCTCTAACAGACAGAGAAGCCCAGTGCTACTGTAATTGAAAGTTATGTATTTGATTGAAAATACTTTTTTTTCCTGGTTCCTACAAGATAACAGCAGAATCACAGCACTGGCTGCACTCAGCAAGCTGCCCTCAGCATGCAATTCTGCGTCAGCCTGTTTCCATGAGACAGGTGTTGCCATTCTGCTTCCCACCACGCTGACCTACCTGTGCTGAGGGTTGGTGTATTTGAGCAGTTCAGCCAGCTGCAGCGGGTACTTGCAGATTTTCTGCACTGGTGTCAGCAGAAACCCATCCAGAGAGATGTCAATCATCTTTTGCAGCAAGCGGCAGGCTTCGAAGAAGTAGACATACTTGTTAACTTTGGTGAGGCGGGACAGCTCCATGCAGGCGTTGGGGTGGTTGTTGCAGTACTCAGAGTATATCTGAAACTCCGTTTGCTGTGAAAAATCAGAGTCACAGAATGTCCTGGGTTGAAAAGGCCCACAGTGCTCATCCAGTTCCAACCCCCTGCTATGTGCAGGTCACCAACCAGCAGCCCAGGCTGCCCAGAGCCACATCCAGCCTGGCCTTGAATGCCTGCAGGGATGGGGCATCCACAGCCTCCCTGGGCAACCTGTTCAGTGCCTCACCACCCTCTGGGTGGAAAACTTCCTCCTAATATCAACCTAAACCTCCCCTGTCTCACTTTAAAACCATTCCCCCTTGTCCTATCACCATCCACCCTCATAAACAGCCATTTCCCCTCCTGTTCATACGCTCCCTTTGAGTATTGGAAGGAAATGAGATTTACTGTCCACGTTTCTCTGAGTGATGACCTGGCTCTGAATCTCTCGCAGCAGGCTGTGGGATAAATGGTGTGCTCCCCTGGCATTCTGAAGCTGTGAGACGTGAGGTTGGTGGTTAGCAGTGTGCTTGTGCATCTTACCTGAGAGGGCACAACCTGCAGCCAGGAGAATGAGGGGATGGGGGGGAGGTTCGACTTACATAATTATTTTTAATTTAAACAGAACCTGTCAGATCAATTTCCTCTGTCCTAATCCCTCAGCTACCCCTTTCCATAAGTCAAATTTACTTACATATTCCAAGAAACAGGAGCCAACCTCACTTAAATGTGGGTGGTCTTTGTTGAATTTCTTCTCCAGTGCTTTAACAAATTTCTTCTGGCATCTGTAGATGTCTTCAATATTCCCAAAGATTGTCTTCAGCTGTTCTTCTGTAAACATGTCGGCTCTTTTGCGGCACTGCTTAATGTAACCCTAAGAGGAAACCAAAGCTCAGAGGTGCTTGGATATCAGGAGAAAACCCCAGTATTGCAGTCAGCTGTGCATCAGGTACCCCTTCCTCATAGTGCATCCATGCCTTAAGCCATTATTTCTTCTAATGCCACCCAAAATATGGTAGAAATAGAAATCAGCCCACAGTCATATCACTGCCTGAAACGATGCTGTAACCCACACTTGAAGGATCCCAGAGCTGCTTTCTCTCCTGTGGAAAACATCTTTGTCTGCAGGCTATGGGGCTGTGCTGGGCACTGCACTGACAACTAAATCCAGCTGAGGATCTGGTTTGGATGCTTACGTTTGCAAAGGCCTGGCTGATTCAAGGGAGAAAGAGGTGACAAAGGACACGAGGGAATTCTGGACTCACCAGGAGGAAAGGGGGTTTGGTGTGTGCTGCTTTTCCCCAGCTGGCTCTCCTGGAGGGCACAGTTTGGTGTCACTGTAGTGAAAAATCTACGTTCCTTCAAACTCCTTTCTCAATTACCATAATTTGCCCCAGTGTATCTGACAGCGTGTCACTTCTGGAAGAGGTGTCAGAATACTCAGCATATTTGGAAGTGAAAGATCTTATTGGCTGAATGTCCCCCAGTTGTTTCGATCTGAGCATAACTTGCCCAAAGGCTGGAGTTGCTGACTGGATTACCTCAGAACATGTATTAAGGAGGACAGCAGTGCTAGACATTTACTTTTCTCTGTCTTGGGAAATGCAATTAATTCTGCTTAATCAGAGCCCAACTGGATGCTCCCAATAAGAGGCAGTTGGGATACTGCTGTAATGAATCGGCTTCTGTTTTCTGAGCATGCAGTGTGATTTAGCAGAGCAGACACTGATGGAAATACCATTATGTATTCAGAGGAGGAAAGTTACCAATTAGGAACCCTCCACCTGGGCACAAACAGAACAGCCTATAGTTTCCTTTTACAGAAGTCCTTACATTCACTTTCCCCTTATTCCTTTACCTCACAAATGTCCTTCAGATGTTTGATGTAGTCTCTTTCTGTGCTTATGATCTCATTGATAACATTGGTCCTCATCTGGTCTTTGGTGGTCTGCCCCATCCCAAAGCGCCGGGTACCACTGCTGGAGTCGTCGTCTTTGCCACCCTCCACCTTTACAGGGTAATCTTCCATGGGTTCATCCTGGTTCACTCGGAGCTGGACGGGACACACAACACGTTTGCTATTCACACTGCTAAATACAGCTCATCCAAAGAAAGGAGAGCTGACTGAATGGTGGACAAGGATTGAGCTGGGATAGGGAGTGAAGGGGAATGCTGTGTAATACTGAGGTAATATTACCTATAAACATATTTTCCCATGATAAGCAATATGTAAACATATTTCCCCAGAATGTAAGGCCAGACAGATGAAGTTCTGTTTACACTACATACAAAATCAGGACAGGAAATGGCTTATCAAGAGAAATCTGCTTGGGTACTCATGAGGGGGCTCTTAGGGAACAAGTAAATATTTGCTTTTTTTTGGAACAGTTTTATTGTTATTCCCATACTATAAATAACAGAGGCCCTCTCAGTACCTGCTTCCCCAAGATTATTTACAGATAACTTGTTTTTAATTTTAAAACAAATACAGATGCCAGTGAGCATACAGTGCAGTGCAGAATGGCATTACATTACAGAGCTGTGTGTGTAACTCGTGGTTCCTTCACATTGCCCATGAGATGGCAGCACAGTGTGAGCAGAGCCAAACACCAGCAATTTGTAGACCTGCTGCTCTGCAGAATCTGTTTTGTTAGCAGAACCAAAGTACCTTAATTAATAGTGAGAAATTTATTTGTGCATTCCACTTGCAAGCTTCATTTCCATAGAAGCATTGCTGCTGCATATTCAGTAGCTCTCAGATCGCCCATGGGAATATTTTGTACACAAATCATCAATCTCAGCACAAAGAACAAATGAAAAACTCTGAGGCAGCAACATGTGTAAATAAAAGCAGTTTTGGTACAGTAACAGATCTGCTTTAAGCTTTTAATGTAGCTTCTTCTAGGATTATTTACCTCTCTGTGTACACATATCTCTATAAAAGATGCATGCCCATCCCTCACCAACACAGGCATAGATTGCACTGACCCACTGCTTACAGTGGGTGAAACCCTCCAGATGTGCAGTCCGGCCTTTCTTTCACTGTGAGTGGAACAACATTGGCTGGTCGTAAGCTCAAACTTCAGCCTGAAACTTATTTGGAGTAACTGAGAGCCCTGCAGGTTTACCCAAGCCCCAAAACACACTGCCCATCCCAGCAGTAAGCTTGAGACCCAGTGATAATTAGCAGGAAATCTTCAGTTGGTTGCTAGAGTAAGTGGTGTAATTGCTCTGCTAAAATAACTAGTTATTCTGCATCCCTACAGGCTAGCACCACTCTGATTTCCCCTGGAATACTGCTAGAGGTTTTCACCAGCCAGGACAACAGCTTGTCAGTAATATGAAAATAAAAAAGGAGCGTGTTTTGACTGTGAAAAAGCAGTTGTGTCCCCACTACTGCTGAGAATTTGGTCCTAGCAATCTTACTTGCAAAACCATGCACTGTTTGTAACAGTTATCCAGCTGAGGCAGTTTCTCAGAAGCTATACCAAGTGTTTCACAGCTTCTAGAGCACAACCTGCTCTGCTTCTCCAAGTACCTTTGCTACAGACACCAGATTACTTCCTTTCATGCTTCACCTGATTTTGGGTCACTTATGATCTAAAGTGACCCAGATTAGAAGCTGAGCTGCTAAGAATCTCTCTGCCCTTAGGCACCTAATCGCCTGTGCAGCGCTCACACCCTCACACAGTGAATGCATTCAGACATCCTCACCACCAGGCAAAGCCTGAACAAAGTACAATAGTCTTTCTCCTTGCAGAAGGAAAGGCGTGCCCAGGCTCTAATTTTACCTCCCAAACTTGTACAGAGAATTCAGACATATTTCAGAATGCCCTGCTGGAAATGGATCCAGCCTCTGCTCTATGTAAGCTGAGGCTGTCTGGATTGCTCTATACAGCTGTCTCTATATAGGCACCTTCTGTACTGTCTGAAGTGATCCCTAGAGCAAAGACCTGTCAGCTGTGTGTGGGACTCCTCTAAGAGCATTTGTTGCTCACTCCTAAAGGTGATGCTGGGTGCTTAGATGCAAACTAGCCAAGTTTACACCCTGGGTAAGGAGCCCAGGGTGTCAAACCACCATGCTGGGCAGCTCCTCAGCTGGCACAGCTCAGCTTAGCTCCAGAGCCTACAACTAAACTGCCTTTGCTCTGATTTACTGCAAAGAGGGAATTCTCCACACTGATGGCAGCTCATCTGGGCGGGCTAAATGTAGCACTGCACAGAGGAACAGTGACAAACACATGTTGAACAACTATCCCAGAAGTCACAGTGTTCAGCACTCAACTCATAATCTGGGGAAAAAGAACACCCAGTGGTAATGAAGAGGTACGGAAAAAACCATCAAACTCTTACCCGTACAAAGCTGGCTGGAAACCAGCCTTCGCTGTCCAGAATCCTTCCCCACCACCACTCCTTGTTGGTAGCATCCATTACTTCAATGACGTCACCAGCCTTGAACCCCAGCTCTTGGTCGTCCATCGTGACATGGTCCCAGAGGGCTTCTGCATACACCACACTGCCATCACTGATGAGCTGTGGACAGAGCAGGTGAGGCTGTTAGCTCCCCAACAACAGCAGTGCAATCAGAGCGGCCGCAGCTCTGGCACAATCACTGCTGAGCCAGACCAGATGAGCACTGCCTTCTGCTCGCTCGCCATGACACACGTGAGAAAGAGCTGGTGCCAGTCTGGCACGTGCCTTGGCTGACCTTGCTGTCAATAGATTCGTTCCCAATCCCTCAGACGCAAGTGTAAATTTGATATTCTGGAATTAGTGCCTCCATGAGCAAACAGGGCTCCGCAGTAGCACATTGCCAGTGGAGGATGCCCTTGTGCTGCTAGCACAGCCCTGCTATGAAAAGCCTTGAAATAAAAGCTTGAGTGTCAATATTTTTAGAGACATACTTCAGAGCAGAAAGTATTCTGAGGCCTCAGAGCTGGCCTAGGACAGAGAGAGCTTTAAATCTTTAGATTGGTTAAACATAGCACTTAAGCTGCTTAAAGTCTCCTGGAGAGTTCAAGTAATTATGCTGAGGTCCAGTGGTTATTTACAACACATCTCATAGAGGGCCTATTCTAGAAAAAAGGAATCCTCAGCAATTAAATACATAATCCAAACCAAAGTGTCGACATGACTGGGAGGGAGCTCTTGAATGCAGTGATGACAGGTATGTGATGCCATTCCCAGCCATCTATCTTAGCTGTGTGCAGTTGGTTGTAATCTGGTGCTGCTGCTCTGAGACAGACCTGCCCAGTACCCACGGTTTACCATGTGAGAGCCTCTGCTGAACTGCAACTACAGGGCACACACCGACCTCAGAGCCTGGGCAAAATGAGGCTCCAAACACCAACGTTTGCCCCAAAAAGCAGCACGTACCACTAGAAAAGGGACTTGGTTGTTCTGCAGTGGCTGCAAAGTGCTGTGTTTCTAAGAAAAAATAAATGGTACACTGATAAATTCTGGGAAGATAATGGAAAGAGAAGTGTAGGAGGCATTAGGAAGAGAAAAACCACTGTTTGTGACTATATACCACATTGCAGCGGTGTCACCCCTGCTACGTATTGCAGGCATAATCCATGATGTGCATCTTAGGTTAGCTCCCTCATAGTTACCTGCTGCTTTAGGTTACTGTTCCTCTCAGCTATGAAGATATGCATGTTATAAAAGAATGTCAGGACAATCACAGTACAGCGAATCAGGAGACAGTTAACTGGAGGCATATGGGGAAAAAAAATAATCAAATACAGCCTGCCTTTGGATAGCAAATGCCCCTTCACTGAACCAGAAGCAGCTTAATGCAGTGCATCCATTTTCACAAAAATAACATCAGGGTGATGGGGAAGGGGAGGGTGGGTGGTTCCAGCTGCCCACACTGCCCACTTTCTGCTGCCTGTAGGACAAGCAGTCACTGAGGTGTGGTCCCACCAGCAAGGAAAGCAGAGCTGTGCTCCTACAACCCAGCCAGCAACACAGCAGGACCAAACTGCGTGCCTTGAAGCAACCTAAGCTGCAATGGCAGAGGATAGCCCTGGCAAACCAAACAGCTGCAGGTGGGCATAAATGTAGCTTCTGTCACAGGAACAGCGGCTGAGCTGCAGAGTGGACAACAGGGGAGCAGAAGCTCAGCAAAGGCTGTGCTCCCATGGGCAGGGGCTGTGGGTCTGTGAGCGCCCACACCAGTGCATAAATCCCTGCAGAGAACAGTGTTAGCAAGCTCTGCAACACACAAACCCTGACCAGTGCAGAAAGAATACGGCTCTTTCCAAGATAAAGTACCTTTGCTGCGCACTGTGTAAGCGTGGGGCAGCAGCTGGCACATGTGCCATACCTGTGGCCAGAGGGAGATCAAACAGAAGTCCTCTGCAGCGCTGTGATGATCGCACAGCAGAGCATCAGAGGTGGGATGATATCAATACCTGTGGTACCAGCCTGCTGGGACTCAGCACCTCAGTGAGAGGAGGAGCCCAGGGCTGCTCCTGTCCTATATTTTTTGTGTTCAAGAACATACTGTGAATATGTTTGCCAAATACAGAAAGGCAGGACTGACCTACCATCACCTGGCCAAATACCACAGGCAAGCAGATCAGATGAGCAGCTCTCATCCAAAGGAAAGTCTGAAACAACACCCGAGAGGCAGGGTAGGGGCTAATAGACAGCAAACGCTGTGTTTGTAGGGAGGAATGATCAATAGAGAGTAAAGCAAGAAATAAAGAAAAAACGTTGTATATGCTTTGGATTATCTTACTGAGTTTATCCAAATAGCACTTCAAACAGACATGCCTGCAGGCTGTCTCCTCCCTCTATTGCTCCATCTGGGGTCACACACCGGGGTGCTGGAGCAGCAGAGCAGGCACAGGAGCAATGTAAAGCATTTAATGATCACCACAGTCACTGCTTGTTTTACTATTAGCCCTCAGCCTGTACAAATCTGTGTCTCACACTATTTCTTGCAGCTGTACCCAAGTGCAGTTCCTGGGCTCGTACAGAAACACCAGACACACTCAATGTGACAGTCCCTTTCCCAGAGTGATTACTGTGGGGCAGCCCTGGGCATCCATGTCACTGTGCAGCACTGCAAGCAGCTGCAGCATCCCCAGTGAGGAGCATCCTGTTAATGGGGAAAAAAGGTCTGCAGCTCTTATTCCCTATCCCTGGATTACATATGCCATCAGAAAAAAGATTTTCTGCAAGATGTGTTAGAGCACAGCACAATCATCTGGCTATATTTGAAGAGCTGTTCATCTTCCAGAGGAGCACGTGTTAAAGGGAACATTCCTCATTTCTAGGCACAGCAGCAGCAGGCCCAAGATGTCTCATCTTACCACTGGTTTTGATCTTTGCAATTAAAGCAAGGTTTGAAAAACAACTATTCTGTCCGTATAAAATAACATCTATGTGTTGGCTCTGTAATACCAAGAACAATTCAATGCACGTTCTTGAAGAGCCACCATCTCCTGCCCCGAACCAGACCCTAGAAGAGAAGTATTAGAATATGAAAAACAGAAACCCAGCCACCTTCAGCTGCTGGAACTACTACAGCTGGCAGCACAACAAACAGACAAGTTTCCCTTTGTTTATGGCAGGTTTGCAGGCAGCACTGTTTGCAACCCAGAGGCAGTGCTAATGCAGATGTTCTGAAAATCAACTAGAGCTCTAACACTGCATTAGCACTGCTGTGCATCTACAGCTGCTTTCTTTACAGCCCATGCAGCTGCAGCCTTGCTGCTCATTTGCAGACAACTGATGCTAAGGGCAGGCACCAGGAAAGTGCTGTGCAGGTAACTCCAGCTAGCATGGCAAGAGGGTGTGAGGTGGAGGAATTGCTGTACTGCTACTCCAAGCCATGCCAAAGAGGAGATGCACTTGGGGCTGTTGCAAATAGCCGTAAATGAAGTCCAGGACATGAAATGGAGCTGGCACTCCACGGCCCATGTCTTCTTGTGTGTTCAATGCCGGCTGCTCAGCCTCTTTGTCTCAGGCTGAACACCTCAGTGCAATTCCCTGTTCTGACAGGAGCTCCAGGCAATCCATGCAGAGATAAAAGATCTAGACAGCTTACAGAAGGAGGGATGGAGACCGCTTTAAGAAGCATGCATCTTTGAGCTACTTGGCTCTATTTGAATAAAATTTGAATAGCTTTCTTTTGATGTTAATTACACTGTACTACACAGAGCAAAAAAAGGAGTGCAAGTCCACATCAGAAGGGAGTAGGAGCAGGATAGCTCAGGAGCAGGGTGCCAATGAAATGGAATGTTCTGTGACACCAAACCAGGCTCCTTTCATGATGAGCAGAGTGCTGCTGGAGTGCTTCCTGGGGAGCTGAATGGGTACCAAGAGGGCTGCATTCCCCAAGGAATGGCTAAGCCAAGTCAGCACACACAGCTCTGCCACCTGCAGCAGCCCTGGCCCTGCAGTACAGACCCCAACACTGCTGCTCTGCTCCCAGAGTCCCTTTCCCACATACTCTCATGCAAAGTGCAGCAGAGGAGTCAGAAAAAAAAAATTCTGCTTTCCTCTTGTCTCATGGTAGAGCTTCATGCACACAGATGGCTGCTTTTCTGAGCACGTAGAGAAGTCAGCCAGCCTTGCCCTTGAGCCAAACCCAATGGGATAGTCCTCAAATCACCCTGACAGCTCACTCTTGTCTCCTCTCAAAACCTGTAGGTTTGTTGTTTAATGGTGGACAAGGGCTATTTATCTCACAGGCCCTTGTAGGCCTACGGTGGGCGTTGAGTTACCATGTCAGCGTGTGCAGAGAACCATTTATTTGGTAAGAACAGCTTTCCACAAAGCCATTCAGACTAGAACCAAGTATATTGTTCCCTTCTGTTTATACCATCTGAGGGCAGGCTCCCGCTCAGAAGTGCTTTAAGCAGATGAGGAGAGGTGAAGGTCCCCACACAGTGGCCAGGAGAAGCCTCAGACCACTGCAGGAGGGCAGCAGCCTGGCAGAAGACCAGAGACAGTGCTGTGCTCCAGGCATTGAGGGCACAGCACGGGGGCTCCCAGCTGTGAACCAAGGCACATATGGTTTTTCAAGGACCAAAGCGATGCAAGAAGTTCCCAATTCCTCACCTAAGGTACAGCAGCTGATTATTTTAATGCAAAGCAAATAGACAGGAATTGCTTTAGATCATTTTACTTTCAGCTGAAATAGGCTAGGAAGCCTCCAATGAAAGCATGGGTCAGTCACCTGCAGCCAGGGATGCTGTTTGCTCAGCTTGGTCCTTTGGTGCTCCCGGTACCCTGAGCATCACTTTCCCATGACCTGTACATTAAAAGCCTACTAATCTGTGGAACTAACATCCTTAAGCTTTGGCACTGAGGAAACAAGAGCTGAGTCCTTATCAAACTTGATAGCACTCTGCAAAAGGTTATCTTCACATCACATCTAGTGGTTAAATGTTCATTACTTTCAGCAGTTGCTGGTAGTGTTTAGAGTAAATAAAGCTGTTAAACAGCTTCCATTTAAATCTTTCATGCACATTTCTAAAGGATGGTTATTTAAACTTAAGATGCTTATTTTCTGGAAT